ATCGCCGCTTAGTAATCTTAAAATAAATAAAATTGTGTATAAAACTATCAAAACAATTGTAACACTCCTTCCACAGTTACTGGACTTTAAAATAGCATTAGAGTTGCACGAAATCCCTTCATCTAAATATACTGCAAGTTTATTTTATGCAAATCTTTCTGATCTGTATTTGCAGTCCACATTAACTGGATTTTATGAAACTTCTTTATATTATAGTTTGGGATAATTGTCAAGTATGACAGCCAACTTTTGTTGGAAACTTGGTGCTACAATTATACAATATTGACACTTCATTGTTATCTATTCTAACCAGCAAAACAATTACTCATTAACTTACCAACATACTTCTGTTTTCATACGTGGTGCATAAGGGCCTTACTTCATAATGGAATGTCCTGGTATTTCGTATCTTTCTCGGTCATGCCGCAAGATGACGCTAGACACATTGCACTGCTTGATACAGTCACGAATTCGCGACTAGTCACACGACCGAGAATGATGCGAAATCTTGTGAAATGTCCAACGTGAATAAGGCTTTTACGTGCCATGTTATAAAGTCTGCTCACAAAAATTCCATAGACGCAGGGATGTACATTAAAATGTTCTTGCTAGATACAAGTTTATGTTTGATAAACATTAACGATATAACGATTATAAAGATAATTATTTTCTAAACATTAATTACAATAAATTACAACTATTCTGGTTATGACGGATTACCTTGATAACATCAAAATGCAGACAAGCGTTTAAGCCGATCACCTTTCCAGTCAGTTCAAAATCACAAACAAAAAACAGATGTGAGAGTGTTTTTCTATCTTTGTCAGAAAGCACAGGATTGTTCACACCATAATCCACTATTCTCCCTACATGGATTGCTATTTCTCCCTAATATATCAAATATTTTGAAGTGTATTTCCAATATTTTTAATCCTTCTTCTGACCCAATTAACCAGCCCAACACTACTAAGAACCTAAATTCTTTTTACTGCCTTAATAAATATTTCACATGGAGAGAGACGAGGGAGAGGAGAGAGAGAAGTGAGGAGAGAGAGGAGAGAGAGAGAGGAGAGAGAGAGGAGAGGAGAGAGAGAGGAGAGAGAGGAGAGAGAGAGAGAGAGAGAGAGGACGAGAGAGAGAGGAGAGGAGAGAGAGAGAGAGAGAGAGAGAGAGAGGAGAGAGAGAGGAGAGAGAGAAGGAGAAGAGAGAGGAGGAGAGAGGAGAGAGAGAGAGGAGAGAGAGAGTGAGAGAGAGAGGAGAGAGAGAGAGAAGAGGAAGAAGAGAGAGAGGAAGGAGAGAGAGGGAGAGAGAGAGAGAGAGAGAGGAGAGAGAGATGAGGAGAGAGAGAGGAGAGAGAGAGAGAGGCAGATTTAATTTTTTCAAAATACAAGATTTGACTGAAAATGGGCAATAATCATCAATTCTTTTTAACGTGTGCTTTCTAACATACAAGGAATTAAATTTACAGAATAATTTAGCTTTTTTCAGAAATTATTATCCAGAATTCCATAATAACAACTCATATTTCTGAAAAATGTTACATTCTTTATCTCAAGTCTTTGAACGATAGGGGAAAAAATCTTAACTATTGTAATAGGAAGAGAGCAAAAAATAAATTTTTGGAGTTCCACAAATTTTCGAAAATTCAGAGATTTCAATGAAAAATGAGTCCTATATCATCTGTTTAAAGAGTTTATAGGGATAAAATTAGTTTTAAAAATTAGAAAAAATGAAAATGTTGTGAGGCTTTTAGAAAGACCACGCAAAAAAACACTTTATCAGATCATTCCTCCATTAAAACTTTATTCTTTGGCACATGCCTCTTCAAATTATTTCTGCATATACAAAGCAAGAATATCAAGTATTACAAAAACCTGCCTTATTCCATCTAATCAATACAAATACATGTGCTTCGACTTATTTCTGCACCAATTAAATATCACTATCCTATTTTTCTCCATTTTCCCCTTCATTTCTTTTTGCATATATAACTTTACTCTAGCTTAACTTTACTGTAGTTAAAAATGCCCAATAAACAGTATGTCCTATACGTCATCCCAAAACAGTATCAACTAGATCTAAAAACATATTTCTGTTCAACATCAAACACACAAACGTAATTACAGGAATAACAAAGAAAATCAGAGAGAGCGGGCAGAGGGGAGAGAGAGAGAGGCAGAGAGAGAGAGAGAGAGAGAGAGGCGGGCAGAGAAGAGAGAAGGAGGCGGGCAGAGAGAGGGAGCGGGCAGGACGGCGAGAGAGGGGCGGGCAGAGAGAGGGAGGCAGGCAGAGGAGGGAGGCGTCAGAGAGGAGGGAGAGCGGGCAGAGAGAGGGAGGCGTGGCAGAGAGGAGGGAGGCAGGCAGAGAGAGGAGGCAGGCAGAGAGAGGGAGGCAGCAGCAAGAGGGAGCAGGCAGCAGAGAGGAGGAAGGCAGCAGGCAGAGAGGAGGAGGCAGGCAGAGAGAGGAGGCAGCAGAAGGAGGAGAGGCAGCAGAGAGGGAGCAGGCAGAAGAGGGAGGCAGGCAGAGAGGGAGCGCAGCAGATAGGAGCAGCAGAGCAGGAGGCAGGCAGAGAGAGCGGAGGCAGGCAGAGAGGGAGCAGGCAGAGAGGGACAGTGCAGGCATGAGAGGAGGCAGCAGAGAGGAGGAGGAGAGGAGGCAGCAGAGAGGGAGGCAGGCAGAGAGGGAGGCAGCAGAGAGGGAGCAGGACAGGAGAGGGAGCAGGCAGAGAGGGAGGCAGGCAGAGAGGGAGGCAGGCAGAAGAGGGGGAGGCAGAGGAGGCAGGCAAGAGAGGAGGAAGGCAGAAGGGAGGCAGGCAGAGAGGGAGGCAGGCAGAGAGGGAGGCAGGCAGAGAGGGAGGCAGGCAGAGAGGGACAGGACTATTAAAGATAAGACAGAAAGAAAAAGTGAGGGAGGAGGGAAAAAGATTTGCAGGTCTCAATCAGTAGGTTGTTTTGGAACCCACTTAATTTAATATTTCAAAGGAAACAAAAAACATTTTTATCAAAGAGAGTTTCCAATGAATTGGTTTCAATTTGTAAACTGATGGAAGAAAATTATAATCAAGCTGTGAAAAGACAATATCATGGATCTTGGAGCAGATTAGATTATTCTACAGATTACATCTTAGATTTGTACAACATAGTTTGTGTATACAAAGTGCTCAATAATCAAAGAAGGTTTAGAGACTCTTGCAGTAGTACATTAAGTTCAAAGTTAATAATTTCATTAAGCAGTACCACCAATCACTATCTTATCTCCTGAAGATAAATGTGGATTCGTATGTACAAGATGAAGAGGTGAGGGAAAAAAAGCCATGTTTCCAACCTAGTGTACTGCTTGTATTTTAGTTTGATTTCTTTCTCCAAATTGTACAATTTGGTACTTAACATTAAGAACATTCGTTAAAAAAAAATAATTTTGCTTACAAACTTTAAAAAATACGACATTGGTGTATACTGTGCATTAAGGTTTTAGAAATATTTTGATGTACATTTTTACTTTCCTCTATACATACGTATATATGGAGTATACATAGTATAATTAAAGTTATGAATTGTTGCGTGAAAAAACAATTCTTGACAGAAATAATTCATTGCCGGATCCTGAGAACGAAAAAATTAATAAATCCAATGTTAAATTATGAAAACTCCATTAACGCGTGGTGCAGCAAGAATCCTTTTTTTTGGGTCCTTGATCCCGAAAAATTAATTGTCGGCAAGACGTCTACCTAGTACTGTCTAAAGAGTACTAGCACCTAAACCATACATAGGATTTTTTTCCAAACTGAAGAAACCCCTGTCCATTAGAGAACTGAATTGATTCAAACCTTTGAGATTTTGAAAAACTTCCTTTAAAATTTGGGGGTACTTTACATGAAACTCCTCTGGACATTTTAAAAGGATTCTTAAAATCAGCTCCAAATTTTAACTTCAAATTTTTTTGATTACAGTAACATACACTTGTAGAAGTGACCGAGGTCAGATTTTCACAGTTAACTCTGATTTTTCGATAATTTCAAAAGTATACATTTTGTTCGGCGTCTTCCTACAACTACAAAATTGAAACTAGAGGTTTTTCCTTCAAATTAAATTTGTTGTCTATAATTAGTTCTTTCACTAACGTCATGTATATATTTTTGAGTTAGTATGTATTATTTTATACTAGTAGTTTTCATGCAATATGGCGGGTAATATTATCTGCAATTTAAGAGAAAAAAAATACAAGATTTTCTCAAAAACTGCTCCAATTTTTTTCTTTAAGCTTTTGGCATCCACAGTGCTAATGTACTCGATGAGATAACACAAATGCCATACTGCTCTATTCTTCTTTTTTTTCCCCCCTTAAAAATATTATTTTTTTGTCTCTCACCCTGTTAATATTTATGTTAGTAGCAATTTGTTCCTGTTATTATACTTATGAGCACAAGTGCTTTAAATAATGATAGATAAAGTTTCTCGAAAACTCAACCATTTTACATTAAAACTAGCTCAAAATTCAGCTTATTCAGAAACACTCAAACGCCATTTTCTCAAAATGTTTTCAAACTTTTCAAAGGGGTAGTGCTAATTGCACTGTATAATATGACGTAAAGTTCATTTTGGGATACATTTTGTTTTTTCTAAAATTATACAAATGTAATTTTTTTGGAAGATTTCTGACACAATTAATATTCACATTTCCACCAATTTGTATACACTATTGTATACACACCTGAAAACTTTTCTTGGAAAAGAGGTTCTAATTTTGAATTTACAGTAGCACCATTTTCATTAAAATGGCTACAAATTTTCCAAAGAAAATTGCCATTTAGGAGGAGGTTTTACTGTTCTTTAATATTCTTAAAAAAATATTTCTGTTCTATTAGGAAAACGAAAATTTGTAAAAATTTCAAAAAAATGTACTTTAAGTGGCGATAGATAGCAGCTGGCAAGAGTATGTGACAATTGCTTGCCAAGACTAATAGAAATAGAAAACTAATACAAGAAAGTCTGTGCCATTGTAACACCCCTAGATCAGTGTGCCTTACAATGGGCCACCAAAATACAATCAGAACAGTTTCAAAATAGCACTCTCATAAGAAATTCATTTAAAAGTAAGCATACCAATATAAACTTCAAAAGATATAGAATCAGGTCCACCTACCTTTCCTTCAGAATCTTCATTGATGCGGTAGTGGTACACTCTGCCTTCATATCGCAATGAGATAGACCTCTGTCCTGGACTGCTCTCCGATTCACGCACAAGGAATGATCCATTGATGCCTGAGCTAAGCAGATATTCTGCTGCATTACGGGAAATGGGCCCATGATACCAAGAATGCTTTTCCAAAGAATTGACAGGAGTCACGTAATTAGAAGGTACCCAACCAACAGCACCAGCATCAGAGTGTGCTTCACACCATTCACCACTTTTATTGTAGCTGAGGATGCGCACCTGTTCTCCTGCAAGATTTACAAAGATATTAAATGTCACAATTTTTTCTTAATTAAGTTAGGTATCTTAATCTAATTTCATGATATCACGGTGTGTAAATCCACGCTTATTATCTTTTGGGACATAAAAAACAGAAAGACACCAGCCAAGGCATTCTATAAGTAAATGAATTAAATGTTGAGAAAACATTCCTATTACCTCTTTTAACTCAAAGTTTGGCAACAGAAAATGCAGGAAGAATCATACGCCTTGTAAGCTAATGATACGTATGTATATTGTTTATATCAATATTTAAAATTTCCTTTCACAATAACAATTGTAATAGGTAAATTATATTTCTATCATTTAGCACTGAAATTTTACAAGTTTCAAACAAGATAAGCAATTAAACAGCCTTCCCTAAATTAAAGAGCAAAAGAAAATCAAAATTCAGTCATTTTCTATTCAATTATTGGACTACTTGTACGAAACAATTATAGTATTAGACAATAATTGTTTTCCTGATGTTCACACTACTTCATGGTAAGGTTTTTTATAAAATTTAAGTTAATTTTTAAGTATGGTAAATAAAAGATGTCTGGTATCAACAATTTAGAAAACCAAACAACATCTTTTATTTACCATACTTAAATATTAGAAGGTATCTACCTCACCACCGATCTAATAAATGAAGTTAATTTTGTCCATAACCTTCAATTTCTCATGCACAATTTAATAATAATTAATTTACAATAACAGTAGAACCCCTCATAACCATCACCAATAGGATTGGGATGTGGTTCATACCAAAAACGTCTGATTGTCAGAAAAACAAAAAATTAATAAAATAGCAAATAAATGAGTACATTCTACAATATAGTAAGAATTATTTTTATAATGAATAGTACATATTGATACACATAATACAAACTATACTATATTATTACTGAAGTCCTAAACGATGTGTATGGGTTAGTGTTGATTAGGGGTTGAGAGGGAAAAAAAGGGGGTCAGATATTCTGAGGTCACATATGAGAGGTTATACTGTATATTACTAACGAAAGGACACAAAATCCATAATATGAGAAACATGTATTCCACAAGAAATGTGTCCATTTCAAATAAAAAGGCCTTAAGAAACAAATTTGAAAGATATTTCTGATGATAGAAATATAGTTGATTGATGTTTTTTGATTTTTATAAGGTCTGTCGTAAGTCTTTATGCACACTAGAATTGGAAATGACAAAAGAAATGAAGATCACTTCGGGACAAACGTGAAAATTAATACACAAAGAAGGTAACGTAATAAATTGCTTCTTTTTGACGGGTAGCAAAAACGAAAATTACAAATAATTTTGATAAATCAAAGAAAAAGAACAAGTTACTTTAAAAGATTTGGCACTAACTTCCACTATTGGCAAAAAATGATTCTCATTTATTACTAATATTTTGAATGGAAAATATTATTATATCTAGAATATCATTTTTGTTATATAATATTCAGATTTTTTCTTTAGAAAATGGATATTTAACTTCACTAATTTACTGAGAATATAATAGAAAATAAAAATATCTAATTTGAGATTAACTTGTATTTTGCAATAATATTGCAGATTCAGTAGTCTAGAAAATGAAGCTACAAGGGCATTCATAACAGTACCTTCTTCTCACAGGAGAATCCAATGGCATCTATACTTGTCGAATCAGTTGAAAACTGAAAATGCGACAAATACTTAAGCTATTCCAACATCCAAATTCATTCAGTGTCCAACAAAAATAATAACTGCCTTTTTTGTGAAATATTTCTTGACAAAGTTTCTAACGACATTTTTATAACATCCCATCTGATAATAAAATAGTTTATTATATATTAAATCAAAAAATATGATGAATTGGAGATACTTTGGATAGACTTTCAGTGTTTCAAAATGCACACTAAAAGCTTTATTACATTCTGAAGAATCTATTAAAATAATTTAGATTAAAATCCATGCCACCATGCTATAAAATGCAAAGGAACCTAAGTCATGTAATTAATACAAAGATAGAATTGTAAGAAAAAGCTAGGAGGATCACGTGTCAATAAATTTCAAATACTTTTTTTTTTTTATCACAAACCATACACAACTTTAGATACAGATCTTACAATACACAACAAAAACTCACAAAAACTATTGTTTGAATGCCCTTCTGGGGGATAACACTTTTTTAAATAAATGTATTTCCAGAACCAAATATAAATTACTTCAAGAAGACAAAAACAACATAATAAGCAAAAAGACAAATATGAAAGAACAAGTGATACCAAGTATCTAAGAGATACACAGATTATGTTTCACTTTAAATTTTCCTTTTCAGAAATAATGCTTTTCACCTATGGATATTCAGAGTGATTAAATCTCACTACATGAGAAACAGCCCAGTGCAATGAACAGAGATTTAGTGTACCAGGAAGATATAATGAATTAACTTTATCAACAAAAATTAAATTCATAAAAATTAAACAGAGGCTACTCATTGAGTACACCCCACTGTAAAATTGCACAGCATTCTACACTGACATGTTTTATTAGTTTTATGCCAAAAACAAAACAAAAAACGCTAAATATGAAAAAAAATTAGTGATGTAAAAACTAAGCAATGTAACATTGTTCTCTGGATGTAACTCAAATAAAAGGAACACTAAAATGACAAAAGATTGTGAAAAACTATAATTGAAAAAGCAAAGATTAGCTTTTGATAGAATTAGAAGTTCACAATTAAAATATTAAAGCATGCCAACAAAAATGTTCAACAAAAGCTGAGAATGGAGAAAGAATAAAAAAATTTACATGAAAATATATTGGAACAATGCATCATTAACATGATTTGAGGATTATAAGAAAACAAATCATATAAAATAACCTACCAAAAATGTAAGTATACTGCCTGATATTCCATAATTCTTGATGGAAAATTACATAAGCAAAATAATGGCAACCTGAAGCCTAAAAGTTAAAGAAAGAATAGACAGAAAACCTAAAATCTATATAGTTCAAAATAGAAGGAAAAAAAAAAAAAAACAACAAAAAAACTGACTGGTATTTGAAATAAATACACAGACCATTTTAATTCACATTAGTCTAACAGTATAGAGCACCTACTGGACAAAAGAAACATACCGTTCAGTTAATAAGTATGGATAAGCAGAATATTAAGAAATAAAGACAGTAAAAACATAAGCAAGAAGAGAGCCTCAAGAGAAAAAGTGTCAGAATCAATTAAGAAATGTACGTTAAGTAACAAAATAATAAGGATGTTAGAAACCATTACAATTATGCAAAATGGAATAAATTTTCAAATTAACAATCTTCCATGATATGAGTGAAAAAATATTCATGTTAAAAGCGAAGGGAATAACAGAAATAAATATTGTAAATAATAAATTCAAGAAAACTTTGTGAGATAAAACAACAGAAATTGTGATATGAAAAATTACACTATGTGGCGTAAATTTTCAATATATTACATCAAAACCGAACTAAATATTCATATTGAAAGGAAAAATTGTAAAAGCAAGAAGAAAATATATTGAATTCACCAGTAACATTATTTATGAAAATAATTATAATAACTATGACAGGCTGAGGAATAAGCAATATACTCCCAAATATGCAATGTCTAGGGATGAAGAAAAACACACTACGATTGCACTGTTCAAAGAGGAATTAAAAGAACTAAGAGAAAACCCAAAATAACGCGGAAATATATATATATAATACATATGTGTGTGTGTGTTAGGTTTAACAATTAAAAGACAAAAAGATAATGTACCAGTCCACGAAGTTGGGAAAACAAAAACTGTCCGACCAAGGGAGCCCGGAGATAAAAGGTAAAGCTTAACGGAAGGGGGAAGGGGCGAGGCAGGCGTCGGAAGACTTGTGCCAGCCTGCCAGAAGGAGATCGGGAGAGAGAGGGGGCAGGGCGGGGGCGCGCACCTTTCTTGAGCGACAGCTGGTTCTCGCCGCCCGCCTGGAAGTCGTAGAGTGCTACGAACAGCTGCGGGTCGTCCTCCTCCTGGGCCAGCAGGTTCTCCTTCGAGGTCCAGCGCTGCGCCGAGTCGAGCGGCAGCGGGGTGCCGGGCGCACCGCCCCCGCCGGCCCCGACGCCGCCGCCCGCGCCGCCCCCCGCGCCCGACCCCTGCTGCGAGCCGCCGCCCGAGCTGCCCGGCGGCTCCGAGTCGGGTAGGTCGGGGATGTGCGGCAGTGGCCGAGACTGCAGCAGCGCCTCTGCGGAGACGAGGGGCGCCGGGCGTGAGCGGACCTCGCCCTCGCCTGCGCCCCTTGCCCCCGCCTCCGCTCGCGGACCACGGACTGGTCTCGGCCGGCATGCCAAGTGTGCGGATGGTACAAACGTCACAGTACATCGAGCATTCTTCACTATGCGATTCACTATTTCCGGCCTTCTCTAGAACGCGGTTAGTTTGATAGTTATGATTTGAGGGCCATGAATGACTCGTTTGCTCATTCGTGAATTGCACTCAAACTTGTGTTAATGTTCTAAATTTGGCAATTTAGTACGAATACCTTTTTTTCTTCTTTTTTTCGAAACAAACACTCAAACGTCACGTTTTTAGTGGCGTATACTCGTTCTACCTCTAGGCTATCGGCCTGCCACCGAGCTTATAATGCACGACACACTAGTTGGCATAAAACGTTCACAAATAACGAACTTAAAATATAACAAACGTTTGCTATGTATTATAAATTATTCTTGGTGTGGTCAGAATACACAGTTTCTGGAAAACCGCCAAATGAATTGTTTTCCGAGAAAGCAAACTGCATTAATCAGAGGCAATAAAATGTGCGGTTTTTTTTTCTTTCTTTTTTTACCGCAAGAGCAATGTGTTAAGAAACGTAGCGCTTCTTGTGTATCTACCTGAAAATCAACTCTCGAACTTCCCAACTTCGTGAATTTGAAATTACAAAATCCGAGCCTTTGATGTATCGCGTTTCCAAACTATCACTCATTTGACCACAGCAGTTCTAAATTGATTTTGTCACCAACATAATTTGAATAGTTTGCAAACCACACAACTGCATTTCATAAAAAAATGACTAGAAATTGGGATTTTATTTGCCTTGTTTTTATTTGATATCCCCAGTCATTTACACAAGGTAATTCCTTCATTTTTACAAGTACCAATTACACGAAATACAATCTAAAAAAACACTGTACTATGATGCATTGCCAACAAACACGTACCTCTTCCGAAGTAAGCAGGGAATTTTTCCTCGAAATTATCCAATTTGGTACTTCAATATATTAAGAATATGTTTTAGTATAATACTTAAGCGCTGATTATGAACACTATTACACCTCTTTACCCTCCAGCAAAACGTGTTGCATGGAAGCGCACGTCCCACACATCTTCCGGCAGGATCGGAAACGAGCTGTCGGATAGCACTAGAACCTTTATTCAGCCTTCGTGCCCGTTTCTCACTAGTGGGCGGGGAAGTGAATCAAGCAATGAACGCATGCTGCGTCGAGTTGTCGCTGGCCTCAGCAGTTTGTTCCTTCCGGAGTTGCCAAGCGCAATGTGTAGGATCCGTGCAACGCACGCGATTTTGTACAGCGTTCAACTGTGCGTATCTAAATGGAATTTTGGAAAAGGTCAGCTACTGAAAGAATGCGGAGTATAGTTATGTTTAATGTAATTCAACTTATTTTTCTTTTTCATATTTTTTTCGGGTTACGGCCGTTGGCCCACAGTATACGCCACTGCACGTTTTCAATTTTGAGATATTGTTAATAACGTACCCGATCGAACAAAATTGTGTTACATTTCTCTGTGCACTATTTCATCATTTTTAAATCTGTTCTAAATGTTTCTAAAGTTTCCATAGCAAACAAAAAATCTACAAAAAAAATTAGATAAAAATTGAGAAAACCCAATGTTTAGGATTTACTATCTGGCGTGATCCATACACAGAAAAAAATTTAATCACTTTTTACGACTCATTTACTTTAATTGTCCATCACAATGATTACTACTAAGCATGATCCATAATATAAAACTATTCAATCAAACCACAACAAAAACAAAAATGTTCACTCATGCCAAATAAAAATACTAATTAGTTACTTTTACACATCTGCTGTAATACAATCACAGACTCATTAAAATGTAACAATCTACTGCAAATTCAGTCCATTCTTTCCAACTCCCTTCCAAAGTAATTTCATCTTACAATTGAGTTAATATTATTTTTACACTGAATTTGACAGATTAACTTACTAATTATAATAATTTGAATAGTTTCTTTCAGAAATTAAGAAATACTACACATCAACTATTGAATGTTCATTGAATCACCTATGAAAATAGTTCCTGAAAATTAAACCTACATTCGGATTCAAAATTTCATGCTATTCCAAACTGGTTGTGGATGGGTTAAAAGTGTACAAGTCTTAAAAGATATATTTCTAGAAACAGTTTCATTTTTCCCTCGAAAAATAGTTTTGATAAGAAGTAGAATGAAGACAACTTATGCTATGTTAAATCAGTAGTTGACATACATACAAAAAGTATGCAGGAAATGACACAAATTTACAGCATTCATTGCAATTTTGCAGAGCGAGCATAAGAGTAACTGCAAAGTATATTATGTACAGAGATCACAGACAAGCATTGAAAATTCAATTGATGGATACTTTACACAATCTCTCCCATTCATTTTTGCAACTTGGATACAGAGTGACAAATTAATACGGTTCTTTTTCTGCCCTATATTCTTTTTCTTAAAAACTTACCACTGTGTTCTGTGAAAATATTGGACCCTTGTTGACGGACATCTCTGGGAAGTCTTGGTCTGTTTCTTATCGTATTCCTAACAGTCAGAGATCCAGCAGATACTACGCGTTCCTTGGCTTGCTGAGCGCCCATGACTTGGGACCATACCCCTGTCGGCCCCAGGCACAGCACGCCGAGACACACAATTGCTTCTCAGTTCACATCCATAAGAATATACTCACTCATACTACACATCTACATTTCATACAGTCCACAGGTCCCATTATTTCCTGTATTAACTATCCATATGGTCTTCGATTAGTTTCACTAGCAATTTTATGTCAATCCCCGCACTATACATTACAAACGGCCATCTTTGACGTCCCGACGTCGATTATTTAGTTGGTAAAATAAACGCAGGATAGAAGCACTGTAGAACAACTTCACGATCCCTGAGAACAATTGCCGATCGTTGTCATTAGGGAACGGAACGAAGTGGACAAATCGAAAAACGTTGTCGGCACGTATGCAGATTTTGAATTAAAACACTCAGGGCAAATTTAATTGATGGCCTAATTTAGTGAAGTGGAGCAATGTGTTCACATCACCTTTCCTGTTTCAGTTGTCTCGATAGTTTCACATAATATTAAGAAGGCAAATCATTTTCCATTACTTTTTCGTCAAATTAACTTAAGGGCTACTAAATAACTGCGCATTGCGAAGTGACTTACCACTAATTAAAGGAGGACTTACTACAACAAATCTTTTCTCTAGTAGTGAACAAATTCTGACAGTTCTACCACACTTCACTTCCTTTCATTCACAAACAAAAGTAGAAACTAACTTGGAGACGTCACTTATGTCAAATTTCATAAACTATTTTGAGAGCTTATTTAAATTTTATGGGGAATACATGCGATATCATGGGTTGCTCATACATTTCTCCGGACGCAAGTGATCGTAATAACAATTACGCACTTTAATTTCTTATGAAGACGAAATTAAAAACTTGCCATTAATAATGCTGCATGATTTGACAATTTCTATTACTGAAGTTTTAATCAAAAATAAAATTCAACCACTAACAGTAGTCAATAGGTTATGTCTCAAAACAGTAAGTTGAATTTCTACTAGATAGCACTACTACAGCAAAAGAAAATAATTAACTTTGCCCGGTAGGTGGCATTGCTATCGTCGGTTGTCATTTGTTTTCTTTTTGCCTGTTGACATCAACCGCATTATATCAACAGGATACTTTGTAGGTGTAAAGAAATATACTTCTGATCAGATATGTCTGATGTCGAAGATGATTTCATGTGTGAAGAAGAAGAGGACTATGGACTGGTAAAATATATTTTCCTTCGTGTAATTTATTGCTTAACAAGATATGAGTTACTCAACTCCAGACATGAAAAATCTTATTAAATCTTCTTTTAGAAATAAAAATTGTGCATTTCAATAGATTTATGCATGATTGACTGTGTATGAAATACACTATTAATGATGTGTCTTTGTTTTATCATGAAGATGGTAGTAAGTTTTAAGTACAGAATATGCGGTTGGAAGATCATTTTGTAAAGAATATAGATGACTGTTAATTTATTGTTCCTCCCGTTGAATATAATCATTAATGATATTAATTGACGTTATGTATTTTCTTGTTTTTAGCAAAGTATAGATTGAACCTAGCATTCTATTTGTTGCATTCTGTTTGTCTACAGGAATATTCAGAAGACAGTAATTCCGAGCCAGATGTAGACCTTGAAAATCAGTATTATAATTCAAAAGCTTTGAAAGAAGATGATCCAAAAGCTGCGTTGGCATCATTTCAAAAAGTTCTTGATTTGGAAGGTGGAGAGAAGGGTGAATGGGGTTTTAAAGCTTTAAAGCAAATGATTAAAATAAATTTTAAACTGGTGTGTATACTCTTCAGAGTGAAAATTGACCATTATGTAATGATGTAATGTGATTCTTCTACATATTTTTAATTTACAGGGTAATTATAAAGAAATGATGACAAGATATAAGCAACTTCTAACCTACATTAAAAGTGCAGTTACAAGAAATCACAGTGAGAAGTCAATCAACTCAATTTTGGATTATATTTCCACATCAAAAAATGTAAGTAGGGAATTCATGAGAGACTGTTGAAGGATACTGTTGTTACAGAAATGATTGTAGGCTACATTCATCTGGTATCATTGTAGATGGAGTTACTTCAAGATTTTTATGAAACCACTCTTGAAGCCTTGAAAGATGCCAAAAATGATAGACTGTGGTTCAAAACAAACACTAAACTTGGAAAGCTGTATTTTGATCGTAATGATTTCAATAAACTTGCAAAAATATTGAAACAATTGCATCAGTCGTGTCAGGTTTGTACATTTTATGACTACTTAATGGCAATGAGCTACTTACATTTTTCTTTGTTTGCAAATATAAATAACGTTCTGTCAGCAGTACACAATCTAATGTGATAAGGTTGGTTTTTCATTATCGTTCGGTTCGTTGCTTAAGAGATGATTTGCACGAAGACAAAGAAAATGTGTTCCATTTTAGAAAACCAATTCCATGTCTCAAGTATTGAACGTGATCATTGAAACTCTAATTTTATTAATGTTGTAATGAATTAAGTGAGAATTTGGAAAAGCTATGATTTTCAATTTTGATACTTTACATTCTCTCAATGACATTTGAGGTGGAAGGTATCGTTGGGAAAACTATTCATAAAGAAATGTGAAAATAAGTGCATTGACCTTTACAAAATAAGGAAGTATTTTTATAATTATTGTAGAAGTAAACTTTTTTATTGGGAAAGTTGTCATTAAAAATCGTATTTAGATTACAATGTAGAATCATCATTTTTGATTCTACAGTTATGATAATTACCTGTGTTTGTTTTAATTTTTAGCTTGTATTTTATGAGAATGAATGGTAGGACTCATATAATTTTAATATCAGTTTTGTGCTTGTAAATGCTTTGTTTCTTAGGATAGAAATTTAAGCAAATAAGCCTGTTTATTGTGAAATTTGATTAATTATTGTAACTAATAAAGTAATGAAATTTGAAACGATTTTAAATTTTGTGTATTAAAGTTCACCTCGTTCTTTATAAGGTTTGTTATAGAGAGACTACACCATTTCGAATTATGTGAACTAAAGAAAATTTGACCCCAAATAGTGAAAACTAATCCTAATATGTATGTGAATGTAAATATAATTGCTGTGTTTTTGGTATGTTCAAATACAATGATGAATGAATCAAATGACCTCATGAATATGAGGTCATGTTATAGGACAGTACAAAAATATTCTTGCATTTGTTACACTTGTTACTTACACTTTGTTACACAAACACAAATTCTTTTAAGACATGACATACCTACAACAAATAGTGACATCCACAATCATTATTCAGTGCGTGCTTCTGCAGCCAAAAATTTAACAGTGCCGAAGGAGGCTTCTTCTTTATTGTAACAGTACAGTAAAGCCCAATTGCCTTAATCATTGCAAATGTTTACCAGAAGCCTTGCCAGTGGCAAGAAATAATGATCACTGATCTAAACTAAATTCATAGGTTGTTGATAGTTCAGGGTTTGTCTTGTAGGACTGAAACTATAAAACCTTGACAAAAAAGTATAAACTATGTGATGGAAATATTTGTTGTTGTGTGTTTTTTTAATTTTGAATTGGACAGGAGTATATTAAGTTTTCTAATTTTATTGCTCACAAATTAATTACTATTTTGAAGAGGCTTTAGAAAGTAGTATGAAGAGAGTATAGAAAAAGGCATCACATGTTATTTCTGTTTCTGTTAGTTCTGATCTTATTTACTTCAACAAATTTGCAGACGGATGAAGGAGAAGATGATTTGAAAAAGGGAACTCAGTTACTGGAAATTTACGCTCTGGAAATACAGATGTATACTGCACAGAAAAACAATAAAAAACTGAAAACCCTTTATGAGCAGTCTCTTCATATCAAATCTGCTATTCCACACCCTCTGATTATGGGTGTCATTCGAGGTAACTTTTGACACATTGTTTGAATGCTGCAGTCGGTGATGGTTTGTACTGATTGCATAGTTTCCTTCCATAGCTTCCATTGTAATCCTGGAAACATGTTGCTTGATGTTTTGAGACTTGATCTTTCACGATATCTATCTATCTATCTATCTATCTATCTATCTATCTATATATATAAGATTACATGTCTGTGATTTTGACTGTTGAGGCTCACGATATCTATCTATCTATAATAGGTATATATATATATAATATTAATTATATATAATATATATATATATATATATATTATATATATAATTTATATATATATATGTAGGTATATATATATATAAGTTTGTATTATATATATATGAGTATGTAATGTATATATATATAGGTATGTTATATAATTATATAGGTATTATAATTGATTTTATAGTTGTATAATAATATATAGATTTATATAATAATTATAGGTATGTTATAAATAAAATAGGTATGTATTATATTAATAGGATGAATAATATAGGTAGATATATATTATAGTATGTATATATATATAGTATTATATTAATATTATAAGTATGTATAATATATATTATAGGTATGTATAATATTATATATATATATAGTATTGATATAATATGATTAATAGGTATGTTAATATATAATATATTTAGGTATGAAATATAAATATATATAGAAGATGTAATTATATAATTAATAGGGTATGGTATATATATATATAGATAGTTGATATATATAATATATATAGGAGAAATATAATATTATAGTATGGTATATTAATTTTATTATTTAGGTATGGTATATATATATATATATATAGGTATGATATATATATATATTAGGTAGTGTATATATATATATAGTATGTATATTATATTTTATATAGTATGAATATATATATATATTAGTATTATAATAATTAGGATTATTATATATATATAGTATGTAATATAATATATATATATATATAGGTATGTATAAAATATATATATTATTATATATATATATATTATATAGTATGTATATATATATATATAGGTATGTAAATATATATTATATATATAGTATTATATAATATTATTATATAGTATTATATATATATATATATATATAGTATGATTAATATATTATATATAGGTTGTATAATATTATATATATAGTATGTTGGTGGTGCGTGCATGCTGCACATAAGGTTCACTTGGGTAATTAAAGATTATTAGACAGAATGGGTATTAATTTTAAAGCTTTGATTGTTGTTTCTGGGTGCACAACTCTGTGGTCATTGGTCCCAAACTTAATGCTGTTTTTATAATGGAGGTGGAAATGTGCTTCCCCACTAGATGGTGAGATGTGCCTGGCCTTATATGCCAATTTGCAGGTTTTCCCACAGTTGAAACCACCTCAGCTCTAAGCACCCAAATGTGAGATACTGTAAGTGCATGTGTAGAAGAATAAGTGTTTGTGTGTAAGTACTGGACGATAAACATTGGGACAGAAGGATTGATCACACATGTCCGTCCTATTTGTTTGACTCTCTTAGTATGCCTGTTGGGTCAGAGATACAGTGAAACATCAATAAAGCAGCCAAGCGCCAGCCATTGGACGTATCTCCTCCAGTCAGTGACTGAATTCAATGGACTTTGTACTAGATTTGAATCTGCTCAGAACTCAAACCTCGCACCACTCCTAGTCAGAGCACTGCAGTGACATCAGTTATGCCCTAGTCACCGCTGCTGTTTTTAAAAGTATGTTGATGTAAACTAATTGAATTCTTCCGTGTGGTTACAATGTCTCAATGGATACAGTTCTATACAGATTAGTGATGCAAAGGGAAAATTCCCAGTACCTGCCTTTTAGGACCTCCACAAATTCTAGAACAGCCATCATGTCCACAGAGAACATTGAGTGTGAACAAATGTAAAGGTCTGCTGTTTGCATGTCGTTCAGTTTATTGAAGTGCATTTGGTACAAGTTTGTTATGTGAAACACCAAATTTGGTGTTTAGATTTAGATTAGATTAGAATTTATTAATACTTCTGCATATTAAGTGTGAAACTTGGGTCCAGAATACACAACTTAACATTACAGAACTTAACAACTTACAAATCTACAAACCTTAACAAAATCACATGAACATTCATGAGCAATCTTCACTAAACTCCACTCACACACTTCACCACAACTTCACCGCACTGCATACGCGTGCTGTTAATATCTTTCATTACACAGTTTCTCTGTTACACAACGTCACTGCACTTGTCACCGCACTGCACTTGCACATAATAAATAATAATAACATAATAATATAATGCAATTATTATTATTATTATTATAATAATAACTTGATTGGCCACAATTGGACCACTTGAGTGTTTCACTCACTTTAATAATGCTGAATTAATATAATAACATTAATAATAATGCTGAATAATGATAATAACAGATAATAATGATAACAATATAATATCAATAATAAAATAATAATAATAAATAATTATAATACTTAATACAAGAGGAGTCATAAGGTAATTAACACGGAATTTTATTTAAGATATATTTAAACAATCTACATTCAAGAAACTAAATTTATTTTAAATTGCTCAGGTGCTGAGGAAAGGGATCGAATTGTCACAGGCAGACTGTGTCGCAGTCCCTAAATAGGATGCAATTCGGCGTATGATATTTCCCACGTCCATTTCTATTCTTGTCTAGATTTTGTGCATGTGATCCACGTCTACCGAAATATGCTAAGGTTTCCCTAATCGACTTTTGAATTCTGTCCGACGCTGCAGAGCCTGTGGTACCGTTATACATGGCATAGAAAACGGACTTTAATCTCTCCTTTCGAGGTGACTCCCATACCCCTTATTCTTGGTTCCCCTTGAAAGTAATTTCTGATGCTCTACGCGTTGGACCTGTTGCTAGTATTCGTTGTTGCAAATGCTGTATGGGGTCGCAACAGCCACCCATGTTCTAATAGGTCGCACTAGAAAGACATATATGCTAGTTCTTTGGCTCTCACTGTACTCCTTTTTCATAGTTCTGGCATAACAAATGTTAAAGATTTCCAGCCTTGCCACTACACGAGAATTGACTTGATTTTCCCAGCTCGGCTTTGACGTGTTACTGTGATCCTATGGTATTTGACAAGACGTGTAGCTCGAAGCGGTTATAACGATTATGTTGCATTCTGACGCAGGTTCATGTGCTACTTCAACCCCTATCAAACGTGATGGACTTGCTCTTTAACTGTATCC